AGTCTTTTGTTATCTTATGAAAAAGAAGGAATCTTCAATAGCCGCGGCACTTGAAATTGTTTTAGGTAGGATTAGAGTAACTTAATTTATCAGAACGTTTTTACCCATTTTATTTGCTATATTTTGTGCGCCAGCAATACCAAGTGTGGGGCGCGCGTATACCCGATTAAGTTTTATTATTCATCAGTATCTTTACCAGCCTACCCTCAAATTGAAATTATTTTAGGAAGGATTACTGTAAATTAATCTATAAGACCTTGGGCGTAGTCGGATACATCAATCAAAAGCGGTTGACCTCCTGAGATCAAAATTGTAATTAGAACTCAAATCGGTCAAGAGATGACGGAGTTTGTACGTGAAAAACTCAAAGTCATTCTATGAACCGTTATGCCGCGGCTAAAGAAAACCTAAAAGATGTAATCATCCAACTTCGTTTGGGCCTGATTATTGATCTTTCAAACATAAAATAAATGTGTAACTTCATTCTTGAAAAACAAAAATTAAAACGCTTTCTACCCGCTCATTTTGAACCTTATTATTGATTTTTAAAATAAAATAAAAATCAACTACAAATGTACAGTACCCATCAATCCACTGCGCTGGTGATAGATACTGAAAAAAGAACTTTAAGGTGAGATGGTAGTTTTCGCAAATAACTTGTTAAAAAGTGTAGTTATATTTTCTTAGTGTCTTTTCGTTTTCCATTTGTTTTCGTACCTTAATATTTATTTAATCTCTAAACGAAAGCATTTTTGTTGTTGTTGTTTGTTATGGATGTTTGTGAAACAATTAATACATTGATTCAAGTCTGTACCATATGCACTAAACGAATTTGAATATGAAGTTAAATTTGATTGAAGGCAGTTTCATCTTCTAAGAAATGTACGTAACTTTGTATTTCAAAATAAAATATATGTATCGTGAAAAAATCACCAAGTCAAAACATACGTTACGCAAATCATAATAGTTAAAATAAGGTATTGTAATCTGAGAAATTCGTATTTGATATCGATATCAAAATAAGGTACTGGTAAGCTGAGAAGCTTGCATTTGATAGATATTTAATACTAACTTCTGATCAAAGCAGGCTACCTGCATAGGCCAGAAATAAAAATAACTCAATAACGAGCATAGCTAACTAAAAGACGTCCAAACTATCTCATTTATAATAATTAGATAATTGTGTACTGCCGCTGTTAACAACACTTTCGACCATGAACTTTCATAGTACTACGACAGCGGAAGTCACGTGACGCTGCTGGCGCGTTTGGCGCTGGTAGCGTGCGTGAAATTTCTCGAATGATCATGAATGATCGGGGAGGCCCGAGTGCATTCACGACGCCCCCTTTGTTTGTATATTAGCCTGGCAGAGAAGCCAGCGAGATATAGATAATTAAAAAAGCGAACAGTAGTGACGGTAAGTAAAGTGTGTGAATCACTGTGTTTTATAGCGTGTATTATAAGAGTTGTTAAGTTTAAAGTGACGAGAAATGTATTAACTGTGGAATTACTGTGTGCTAAAAGTTTGTATCGAGGAAGAATAAACTGGTTTAATCAACAAAGGACTTGTATCGCTGAAGTTCCTTGGAAAGAATTTCTACCGGAAATTAACAAACAAGCAGATACGTAACAATAGTAATATAAACAATATATTGATTAGCTGAAAGTCCGGATTTATTTAACATGCCAAAATAGTTAAAATAAGGCACTGTTAAACTGAGATGTATATATTCATAGCATTTTAAATATTATGTTGATAACATGAGAAGTACCTGTAATTCATAGGGATATCAACGTACTTGAAATAAGGTATTAGTATGCTGAGAAGTTTGTATTTGATAGAAAAACAAAGGATGCTAAAATATAGCAACACCAGTTTTTCTTTTTCTTTATCTGCTTTCCATGCTTTAAAACTAACTACGGCATAACTTATTTAATTGTGTTTTTAGCCGCGGCATATCGGCTCATAGAATGGCTATGGGTTTTTCAGAGTACATATTTTTAGCTCATAGTTCCGCCATCTCTTGACCGATTTGAGATCTAATAACAGTTTTGGCCTCAGGAGGTCAAACCCTTTTGATTGATGTATTTGACCACGCCCAAGGTTGTAACATTTAGATTATTCTTGGTGGATATAATGGTACATTCACATTTATCTGTAAAACGAAAAAGTAAAATTGGTACATGCAAAAAAATTTGGGATGAGAAGACGTTATGCACAAAAACTTAATTTTATTCGTTTGTTTGTTTTAACGCAAAGCCATATTAGGCTATCTGCTGTGTCCACCACAGTAAATGAACCCCTTGATTTTAGCGTTGTAAGTCCGTAACTTACCGCTGACCCACCTGGGAACATATAAATTTAATAGTACCGCAGATACTCCATTGTGTTGGTTGGTTGTTATGAATTTGGCGCTAGACTATCTGCACTAGCTGCCCCTAATTTAGGGACTAGAGGGAAGGCAGCTAGTGATCACCACCCACCGCCAACTCTTGGGCTACTCTTTTACCAACGACCGTCGCATTATAACTCCCCCCCCCCCACGACTGAAAGGGCGAGCATGTTTGGTGTGATGGGGATTCGAACCCGCGGATTGCTAGTTGAGAGCCTTAACCATCTGGCCATGTCGGGCCGTGTAGTTTTGAAAAAAATATATATACAATAAACCAAAGTAGAAGTTCAGTTAAGTTTCACTCAAGTAAACACGAATGTAGGTGACGTCATCTTTTAGAGACGAAGCAACTGAAAGAATTAGATATTTGTGATGAAAAAATAAATAAAATGACGCAGCTTCTCTTTTGTTATGTAAAGAAAACAAATTCTGATGAAATATTAGTTTCTTTCTGTTGCATAAAAACATGGTGGTAAATTCGGATTTTGATGTTACGATAAAAATCACACATTTTCCAGCAACTTGGCAGAACTATCTACGGAAATCGAAGGCTCTTTCTTGTCCTGACAGTGAAAGCAAGCATTGTTCCTTTTGTCGATCCAAATTCTACACTGTTAGACTGAGCCAGCGAAGGGTTCAATAAATAAAAATAATTTGGAACGAATTATTATCTCTAACAATATACTTGAATAATTCTTTGCCCGTTTTCTAAAAGTTTGCTTTGCATAGTTCACAAGTCGTTCTCGGTGATTTGACATTTTTAGTTACCTTTATTATTTATTGAATTTTAAAAAATAGGTCATTGGTTTGATGTAGTTGTCGAATTTTGACAAAGCTTGTTTCTTTCTTAGGAACGTACCTTCTCTAATACATTCATTTCACCTTGACAAGCTACTCAAGTAACGTTTTGGAATTTATTTTCAGAGCCCCTACGTATCCTTGCAGCTTCATTTTATCTAATCAAAAACACCTTAAGTGTGAAAAAAAGGTGCGTCCAAAAAAAAAAAAAGATTGAGTGTGGGACTTAAAAGAATGAAATCAAAATTGGCGACCAAACTGGTAGTTGCACTTATAGCACTGATAAGAATTTTACCTCAAATAATCATTCGTTAGTTAGCTAGGCCACGTTTTTTTGTTCAACTTGGGGTATGATTGTGGGTAAAATAAATTTTGCGGCCTAGTTAACTAATGAATGAATATTTGATGTAAAATTGGCCGCCAATTTTGATTTCATTCCCTTATGTAAGTCTCACACTCAATCCTTTTTGGTGTTTTTGATTAGATATCATGACTTTTGTCAATACACACGAACAAGCCAAAGCAAGTAAGAAAGTGACACTCGATAGTAACCAACATTAGCTTTAGGATCGCAACCCTATTATTGTGAACAGACCTTTACTTTACAGAACCAACCAGATTCTTTAAAATATATGGTGGTAGTTTGTCTCTCTAAAACAGTTTTAATAGCTTCCTTTATAGTAACGCTGTGGAATTTGGATTAACAGTTTCTTGTCATCACCCCCATGCAATCGGTATAGCCGTATCGAGCATCATTATTTATGCTAATTGCTTAAGCTAATATAACGTGACGCTAAACACTCTTTAATTAGGATATTTACATAACATTTAGTAAATTTGTGCTAAGAAGTTGATAATGAACAATCAATAATAACCATCCACCCGTATGATTCTTTTGAAAACTTGAGCTAGAAACTGCCAATCTAGTTTGCTTGGTCTAACCAGTACTTTTGTATCTGTACGTCCTTTAACCTTACAGTTTTGCTGCACTGATTTGCTGCCCTCTTTAATCTTAATGACAAAAAACTAAAAACTGTAATGAAACTGTAGTAAAAATGTTAGACCGATAGCATACGTGACTTTTTGCGTAGGCGTGCGCAAAACGTTTTGTTAAATTTGAGCGTTTGTTTTGCTGAATAACTTTGCACATATGGTTATAGTTACACCAAATGAGACTCCTAATTGTAGGTTGAAAAGAACTATCAGTATACCAAATTTTATAAAAATCTATAAAAGTTAAGAATGTTTTTCTATCAAATAAAGTTCCGTACTTTTGGTGCAAAGAGAAAAAAAATAGGAAGAAACTCAATCAAAATTGGATATGTTATATTTCAGGTATTTATTAATTGATTGCCTCGAAATTTGGTATAGAAAGTAAGAGTCCACTAGAGCACATCCATTGAAAATATATGATAGTTTGGACTACCACAGTTCGAGATACAGAAGGTGGAACTATCGCTAAACTATCACTCCTGTTAATAACACAGCAGCAGGTTGTCTTGACTGCACGGCACACTACCGTGTGTCTTGATATTTAAATTGCATTACACATAAGATTACAATAATGATAATAGCTATGATATCTGCATTACAGAATCTCCTGATTCTTCCAATTTGAAATCCATGATTTAATTGTGACTATATACTTTAATTTGTGATTCACTGTATCAGTTGGTGATATTACATTAGGTATGTACTAGAACATGCAGTTACGTTCATCGGCAGTACCATGGGATTACTTTTATATACAACAACATTTAGTTATACATTCCCAACACAAACATATTTATTCAATGCTATAATACTTACTTGTGAAAGCATAGAAAAGACACAAAGAAAAACAAAGCACTGAGAAGTTCTGCTCGTCCTACGATACTTGACACCTGAAAACAAAACGAAAACCTGTGTTAATATTAATCATGATCGTTTTTATCTCCTAAAGTCTAAGAATCTCAAATGATATGTTACGTATTCACTTTAACCGAAACAAAAGATTACCTGATTTTTTTAAATCGTAGGAATATATTAAATGACTCAATGGCTCATATTAACTTCAAAACTCAATGAACATAAAAACATATAATGACAAGCTAAAAATAATTACGAAAATTCAACTAGAAATTTGTAGAAAGACTGTAAATAAAACCTGCTGCAGTTTTCTTTTCATTTAGTTCAGACCAATTTTCTAAAAACACGCACACTTTAAATGTTACCAAGGGCACTAGCATCATATAACACAGTTCTTAGAAATATTATTAACTATAGGGCGTAACTTAGCTTTGGATAAAATATATTTTTGTTTCGATTGGCTTCAAATTGTTCATTCGAAGTGTGACTTAAATAAAAAGGTATTATCGATTAAAAACAAGCTTTAAAGAGCATAAAAAAAGAAATGTTCGTTTTTAGAATAGGGTAAAAAACAGGTTCTTAGGCAGAAATGTATAAAGGGGGAGTTACTATTGTACGAAATAGGAGATGAGGGAGCCACACTAAGGGGTCTGTCAGAAAAATGGAATTTTCACTAAATATTGTGCATTTTGATAGTATCTGGGACTGTTTTTGCACTTTCCAAATATGTTATATAAAAAATTGGCGCAGTTTAGAGGATCTGAAAGTACTAACCATCATTACCCCACACGTATGCATAATAAATATGTATTATTTTTACTTAATAAAGTTTCGTTTTAGTATGGTAGAATATGAGGGGAAGTTCCTGAAATTTTATAGATTTTAGTTCTAAACACTTGATATATTTTTTCCAATGCCTTCGAAACAAAAGGCTTATGTTTTACAAATTCATCTTTTTTTTTTATTGGAACTCAAAATGACAGTTGATTCCAGGAATATTCGCTCTATTGGCCAGATCTCAATAGCCACGAATCAAACAGTGACACGTGATTGATGGTCAATATTCACACCTTCTTCTTCTCTGAATACCTTTATCTTATTTTCTTTCCTGACATGATGATGGAACGGAAGTAGGAAATAAATTATATCTAATCTTTTCTGGGAAGACAAAGAAATATAGTTAACGATAACTGGCTATATATGTATACTTAAACAAACACTTCTAGTGTGTTATGTTATAACTGCTATCAAATTATCTTATAGTCGGTGTTTCTAGTTTTAAGAGTTAGGATTGTTCAGCTTTGATTATTTTTTACACATTACGTCAGTTTCTTGTGAATACGTTATTCTTGAAAGAGTTGCGAATAAAAAAATAATGTTAAAAAATATGGAAAGCATCATTCACACAAATATCGAGATTGTTATAGAAACCATATATGACGTCATTCTGAGTTATACGGTGTAGTCTAACGACTAAGCTGTGAAGAAGAATCGTTAAGACCAAAGCCAATATTTTTTGGAAGACGGCCATTGAATATTGATTTATATATTAAGTTAATTCAACATTTTCAAAATATACAAAATTTAGTGTTATGCCTTTAAATAAATAAAACATTTTTTTTTAAAATGAAAACCAAGGTGGCGTTTTTCTTGTCACTGAACAAGTGTTTTCTGAGCTTCATTAAAATAAGTTATTTCATACAGGGTAGAAACAAAATATTCTATTACATTGCACGGTATACTACGGTGAGTTGACTACGTTATATTAGAACGATTTTGAATATGCAAATCAATAAGACATATGACAGTCATAACTGGTATAAAATTTCGGTGGAATCAGAATTACATTTTGTCATTGTTTGGCGTTTCTTAAGTAGTGTGATGTCATCGAGCTTCGAGAGGATATGTAGCAGCCTTTCCGACGCACAATAACAGTACACTCAGTTGATAAAGATATCTTAAAATTTGAGATTTAGAATTTGCTAGAAGGGGACATCCTTATAAGTAATGGCGTTAGGAAACAAAGGAATATATATCAACTTAGGGTACAGAAAGAGACCTGCAATAAGCTGTACTCCAACCGGGGTAAGCAAATTGCAACATCTTGTAACCGATGATAATCCATGAACGCAAAGGTCAATGGCAAAAAAACAGTCCACGTGCTCTAGGCAACAGCACGCAAAATAGTCAAGTAGGATTTTTGTTTGGAAAAGTGACACAAGTTACATGTACACAAGTTGCTTCCAAGACGTATCTGTTCAACTATCGCATACCTCTAGTGGCTGGAGAATTAAAAGGGTATTCATGCTATTCCATACGAAGACGTACCAGACAAGTTGTCGGAGGCTTTGTTTGTTTGTTATCGATTTCGCGCAAAGCTACACGAAGGCTATCTGCGCTAGCCGTCCCTAATTTAGCAGTGTAAGACTAGAGGGAAGGCAGCTAGTCATCACCACCGATCACCAACTCTTGGGCTACTCTTTTACCAATGAATAGTGGGATTAACCGTCACATTATAACGTCCCCACGGCTGAAAGGGCGAGCATGCTTGATGTGATGGGGATTCGAACCAGCGACCCGCAGATAGCGAGTCGAGTGCCCTAACCACCTGGCCATGCCGGGCTTGCCGGAGGCATTGCCTATGAATTTCTGTGCCTCAGCTGTTGTGAAACGTACTGGGAAACCCTTGTTATCATACAATAGATGGCATATGGAAAGCAATCAGAGAAGAGTGGTTTGTTCTGGACATGAACGCTTTACGATTGAGCTTTTTCAAACGAAATTACACTGCAGAGCTATTGTCAAGATGCACAATCGTCAGATAGAGTGTGACCGGACGTGGCGAAATGGACTGTAACGACAAGTTGAGGCTCTAATATCATTTTAATGTAACGCACCCATCCTCTGTATTTTAATTCTTGTCTTAAGTTACTAAAGTATATGGAAGATGAAAAGTGAGGTATTTATATGGCTGTATAAACACACCATTCAGAACATTAAATCTGAAATACGTAATACTCTGAGATTTATTTAGGGATTACGAGTGTGCTAAGGCATTTCAAACGACGAATATTACTTTATTGTAAAGCTAGCTAGAGTTTTCGTCCCCTGGACGGAAGTTTAATTCATGATTAATAAAGGTTATCTTAGAACATGAAAAGTTGATTCTCTTATATGTAATTGTAAGAAAATGTAAAAACGCCCATAAAAAACTGCAAAATGCAAAACTAAACATTTGTGTGTATCCCCACATGAGCCTTCATACTAACTTTGGTGAAGATCCATCCACACCCTGCGAAGCAGTTACATAGACATACAATAGACAGTACTATTATATTTATATTTGTTTGTTTGTTTGTTAATAATTAAGCACAACGCTACACAATGGGCTATCTGTGCTCTGCCCATCACGGGTATCGAAACCCCGTTTCTGGCGTTGTAAGTCCGCAGACATACCGCTGTGCCACTGGGGGGCTTATATATATATATATCATTAACATAGTCATGGATTATACAATGGAGTAATGGAAGAGTGCATCTTCAATGCAGACAAAGGAATTACACTTTAACCCATAACAGGGGCATGGGCAAGTTGAAGACTAATACGTCATGTGATTTATCATCTTATTGACTTTTCCTCTTTTTAGGTTTGATAATATATTGAGCCAAACCTTCAGAGAAAAATATTTTATATTCCTAGATTCGACCCTGATCTCCTGGTTTGTATATAAATTAGGTTGGGTTTCTTTAATCGGAGACAAATCTCTGGTTCATTGGTCATCTCTACTCATCCAGGAAGAGAAGGAAAAACATCATTACTGAGGAATAGAGTCATAATCCAATGCTTTATAGCTTGCACGTTTCAGGTTATGTTCCACAGTTTTATACATACATTATGATATAGTTTTATTGTTCGTGCATGTAAAATCATAATGTTAGGATGACCTGCTGTTCAAAGTTGAAACACACACAAATATACCTACAAATAGCTAGACAGCTATTTATCTACTTATCTATCTGTCAAGGCAGACGTTACAGGTGTGTCTTTGTTAAATTCCCTGAGTAAAGCTTACGTTTCATGACTGTTTTTGTGCAAAAATAGTTTTTTAGGTTATGTCTTAAAATTCTCTTTCTGCTTTAATACTTCATGACATTTGCATTAGTTTGGCTCCTTGTTATACTTTCGCATACTCTGTTTTTTTTAAACAGTTGCATGCTGTGAAATAAAGGCCCTTAGTCAGAGTTAAACTCAGCACAGTTGTTCAGTTACTTTTTGAACAGATGCGGCTACGTCGAACTTATCTTATAAATCTTCCGGGGAAAGCTTACCAGTTTTCAGTTGTGGTCTCTTATATAAAAAAAAACACATGAGCATGCTATTCAAGAGCATTTAGTGAACATGTTTCTACTGTTTAATATTTGGTGAGAATGATTCACTTATTCATTATTTATTGAGCTTGTTCGCATTGTTCGATACATAGTGAAGATGCTTATATTGTTTAATATTTGGTGAGCATGATTTAGTTATTCATTATTTGTTGAGTATGTTCTAATTGTTCGATATTTAGAAAGCGCGTTTCGGTTATTCATAATTTAGTGAGCATGATTCAGTTATTCAGTATTTAATGGGCATGTTTTATCATTCACTATTTAATGGCCATGTTTTATCATTTAGTATTTAATGGGCATGTTTCTATCATTCAGCACTTAATGGACATTTTCTATCATTCAGTACTTAATAGGCATGTTTCTGTCATTCAGTACTTAATGGGCTTGTTTTTATCATTCAGTACTTAATGGGCATGTTTCTATCATTCAGTACTTAATGGGCATGTTTCTTTCGTTCATTACTTAATGGGCATGTTTCTGTCATTCAGTATTTAATGGGCGTGTTTCTATCATTCAGTACTTAATAGACATGTTTCTATCATTCAGTATTTAATGGACATGTTTCTATCATTCAGTATTTAATGAGCGTGTTTCTATCATTCAGTACTTAATGGACATGTTTCTATCATTCAGTATTTAATGGACATGTTTCTATCATTCAGTACGTATTTTTTGAAAGTTCTGACATGTTTTTTGGATCCAATGCTTCACTCTGTTATGGAAGTTTGGCATGTGGTTGGCCTTTTTCGAATCTTATGTAACTGTGAGCATATGGTTAGTCTGTTTCGCACTTTTTATATTTTTTCTTAATGGACTAGGATACTCTAACGTCAAGTTTATGTTCACAAAGAAATTCATTTAGAGAGAGAGAGAGATAAAAAAATTCACGATAATGTACTATAAAAGTTAAACATATGTTTTTCAGAGCCTTCATTATTTGTAATTACCCGTAATAGAGCATATTTGGTATTTTCAACCTGAAAAACACCTACAACGACACATGAGCTATAAGACCACGTAAGAGACCACAAGGTCCAGGCATAACTGTCTTATTTAGAACTCTGACCAGATGGCAAATAGCTATTAGCACCCAAAGCTGAAAATGCGGAACTCGAACGATGGACCACCAGATTCACAATTTGGCACACTAACCACTTAATCACGCCTGGTCCCTGAGAAGTAAGAGTAACTCCTTGATAGAAAACAATTAATTTAATCTATGTGTGGTAATTTCTGTGTGTTAATCAGATAAAATGAGATTAAACTATTAGCATAATTCAAGATAATCAATTAACTGACAAGAATTACATTTGTGATTCAAGAAGTTCTTGCTAGTGTAGAATGGCTTCCTGTTGTTCACCTGTGTTGTTTCACGTGTATTGATAAGGGGTGAATTATTTATTTATTTTTATAAAATTATGTAATTTTATATGTTTGTTTGTTTATTGAATTTCGCCCAAAGCTACGTGAGGGCTATCTGCGCTAGCCCTCCCTGTACCCATGCTTGGGCTACGCTTGTTACCAACGAATTGTTGGATTCACTGTTACATTAAATCGTCCTCGCAACTGAAAAGGCGAGCATGTTCGGTGACGCGATTCGAATCTAGTGCTCGAAGTACCAGGCCGATTCGTTACGCTGGCACCGTATGTGCACACATCGAAACTAGAGTTCTTTTGGTCTTGGGAGAAGCGAGAGATTTCGTAACATTACCTACTCTGTAACAACAACGGATATGTGTGACATCATAATTTACGTAGCATTACCTACTCTGTAACAAAAACGGATATGTGTGACATCATAATTTACGTAACATTACCTACTCTGTAACAAAAACGGATATGTGTGACATCATAATTTACGTAACATTACCTACTCTGTAACAAAAACGGATATGTGTGACATCATAATTTACGTAACATTACCTACTCTGTAACAAAAACGGATATGTGTGACATCATAATTTACGTAACATTACCTACTCTGTAAGAAAAACGGATATGTGTGACATCATAATTTACGTAACATTACCTACTCTGTAACAAAAACGGATATGTGTGACATCATAATTTACGTAACATTACCTACTCTGTAAGAAAAACGGATATGTGTGACATCATAATTTACGTAACATTACCTACTCTGTAAGAAAAACGGATATGTGTGACATCATAATTTCTACGATTTTCTTATTTCTTATCTTCATGTCCCTTTCTAAAGAATATTTAATCAACAAACATAGAAACTAACTCAAGGGAACCTTTAACAATTTTGGAGTGTAACCTCCCTCCCCCACAGAAAATATCAGTACTTATAACTAAATTATCACAGATTTGTATGTAAAACTGTGAATTTTCAGCAAAGACCCAGACATGAATAATATGAGTTCCCACGTATATAAAAATTTCTTAACTATTATATACAACCAGAAGTTTTAGTATTGATTGGCTTTTGTATAAGCACATTTCGATTTTAACGGGTCACGAAAGAAATCCAATAGAGCTAAAGAACAAAATACAGTAACAAGGATTGAATTTAATTCAATTTATACTTGATTTTTCTACAACCTGCTGTCTTTTTCACACTTTCATGCAGGTTTACATTGTGTTGATTTAACAGTTTCCCAGTTAACATGCTAAGCATGTTAGAATTTTATAAACTCTTTTCATTCTAGTTTTTTTTTAATATCGTTTTAGTTTGCAGCATAAGAGTTAAAACAGCAAAATTTTGTTCTTCGGATCCAATCAGAAACTTTTAATATTATTTCTGCTGAGGAGAGAAAGGGATTTTTTAAATATTGATTAGAATAAATATTTCTTTGAAACACACTAAAGTAAACGTTTTGTGAAACTCGCGAAATTCATCTAACGTTTTGAGAAACTCCGCGTGTATATTCCTTTTATCTTTGATGATCACAATGTATGTATACATCAGAAATATATGTACTGTTATCACTCATGGCCTGCAGTAACAATAGGCTAATTTCCAAGGATCTAATGGGATGTACAATATAAAATAATGTTGATGCAGAAATCAGGAAGAATGTCTTTTTCCATTAATCAAACTTAACGAAACCATGCAAAACTTAGATAGTACAACAAAAAATACGTTTGAATTAAAAAATCAAATATTAGAATATAGAGAAATACAATGTGTTTGAAATGAACAATCTCCGATTATCAAATACAATAAAAATACTCTGACATGGTCGGTGAGTGTAGTTTTAAAAATCAATTACGAACAAATAATTAGTTATTTTAGACATTATTAACAAAACCATACTATAATATTTCCTTTACAGTGGTTCAAAAGTAGGTCTGTGAACTCATATCTAACAATCGGGTTTCGATACCCGAAGCGGGCAGAACACAAATAGTCCATTGTGTAGCTTTGTGCTCAATATGGCTGTAATTTTGTGTCTAATTTTAGTCATAATACGTTTACTTAATTCTAAGAAAAGTTTCTTGATTCGATAAATTCATCTTCCCAGGAAGGCCTTCTATAGTTATATCAGGTCTGCTGTCTTTTAGTACTGCAACATTACTAAAGACAGGTTCCGATAACAAAACACGTGGCCGAACGAGGGCTTATGATGTTACAATAGATCTTTGTGGAAACAAAGACATTATCCTGATATAAAATATGTGGCCAAAGCACCACTTACAAGTGAGAAAAGAAAATTTAGTTGTATCAAATGAAATGTCCATATAACGATTCCAGACATTTCACCACACTTTCCCAGATATTTTGAATTACTTTACTATGGGGAAACACATATTGAAAGTTTGTTCACCTACTACATAACAAAAACTATGATTGAGGAAATGGTTGAAAGGAGGCTAGGAACACACATTTCTTTTCAGTTTCAAAATATTTACTGTTGTTAGGTGTAAAGTGATAATAGCTTGTTCATTGCCAGCCTTTTTATCTATGTTATAAAAGCCTCTAAAGGGTAAATGCTGCGACATTTCGTGGGAGGCGAGGAGAGGGACTGCATGAATCTTATACATTACGCAAAGTATATACCCGAAACACTTCTTACTTTATGTTAGTGTTGTTTAGTATACTCCAACCGGAGGATTGAATGATAGTTTTAAGTACAGTTTTATGTTGGTGTTGTTTAGTATACTCCAACCGGAGGATTGAATGATAGTTTTAAGTACAGCTTTATGTTGGTGTTGTTTAGTATACTCCAACCGGAGGATTGAATGATAATTTTAAGTACAGCTTTATGTTGGTGTTGTTTAGTGTAATCCAACCGGAAGGTTGAATGATAGTTTTAAGTGCAACTTTATGTTGGTGTTTTTAGTATGATCCAACCGGAGGATTGGATGATAGTTTTAAGTACAGCTTTATGTTGATGTTTTTTAGTATAATCCGACCGCAAGATTAATGATGGAGTTTTAAGTGGAGATGAATGGTGGTGTTGTTTAGTGTAATCCAACCGGATGATTGAATGATGAACCTTTAAGTGCAGATGAATGTTGTTGTTGTTTAGTGTAATCCAACCGGAGGATTGAATGATGTAGCTTTAAGTGGAGATGAATGTTGGTGTTGGTGTTTAGTGTAATCCAACCGGATGATTGAACGATGAACCTTTAAGTGCAGATGAATGTTGGTGTTGTTTAGTGTAATCCGAATGATGAACCTTTAAGTGCAGATGAATGTTGGTGTTTTTAGTGTTGTTTAGTAAAATAAAATGTGAAAAATTTCTTACCGCCTCAGTGTGGACGGGATGAGCAGCAAACAAAAGTCCTGTAATGGCTGAATTCTCAGTGTTCCATTGTAGGACGGTTCTACACATGAAGGTGAGAAGACAAACCACCAACCCGTGAAGGACCACGTTCACCAGATGAAAACCTTCCACTGCCTGTCCTCCCAGCATCATATTCCACCTGTTACAATAAAAATATGTGTATTAGAATATGTTTCTTATCTGAAAAAAAAATCAAAAACATACTAGAAACAACACTTAGTGCGATATTATACAGGTCTGCAAGGCAGAAGTCTCATAAATACATTTTAGAGTCAACGTAATAGTGGTTTCTGTAACAAAAACATGGAAACGATTATGATTATCAGATTTTTAAATTACAAATAAGATTATTTTTAACTCGAAAAAAAAGATAAATGAGGAGAGATGAGAAAAATTAATTATAGGTTTGTTTGTTTTAGCACAAGTTTACGCAATTGGCTATCTGTGCTTTGTCCTCCACGGGAAATCGAGCTCCTTAAAGTTTTCGCTGATCCACTGGGGGACAAAAAAACACAGAAAAAGAAGCAATAGCCTTTACATATTATAAACAAGTAAAACATGGGATTAAGTCGTCCCAGCAACATATCATGTTTTATACAGAAAAAAATTAAATGTCTAATTAATTGTTAGATACTATTACAACATGTATAAAAAAAAGACATCCAATATATAATGTAGCAAAAATTAAAACCTAACATATTGTGAAGTAAAAATTAAAGCATCTGATTAGTCATTAAATAAAAATATAAAATACTCCGCAAAGCTATGAAATGATAAAAACCCTATAATCCGAGCACTTTCGAAAGGCGGACCTTTCCTCTTCAGGGGCAAACTGGGAAGCTATAGATACCTTGGATTATTTAAAATTGAAGTATAGTACGTTACAATTCGAGCAACAGTGGTCACATCACGAAAGAAAATATTGACCTAAAGAACTTAAATAATGAACGAAACGATGGATTAAACATATAAAGAGTAACAGTAAAACTAAGAAAATAGGAGTAGGTGACGAAAAATTAAACAAGTACAATTATAAGCGTCAAACGTTACGAGGAAAAAATTTGGTAATCGCTATTTAATCTAAATAATAGTTCTTAGGACTTTCAAAGTAGATTAAAGTCGAATATAGTAAGAAAGACGTTCCATCTTATTACGAACCCCTTTTATCTCTATTTCTAAATCTAGTCAAAGGTGTAATGAAATATGGTTTATCCATCCGAATAATTCAAACAACAATATTATCATCTATCAAACCTCATAGTACCGCAGAAACGAAAGTCTAACTTTACTCCAATAGTAACTGTTAAATTTTTTTTAAAAATCAACGCTTCCAAATGGAATGTCTGCGTTGTATCTACCGAGAGAAATCCAATCTCCAATTTTTTGTGTTACACTACACCGTGTATATATTTAAAGAAAATAAATACCTTACATCATTCTATATCTTAGAGACATCTCCATTTAATTTCAATAGCTGAACAGAAAATAAGGAGAGATCTATAAAACCAGAACAGAAACAGAAAAATGTGCATTGGCGGGAAAGAGAGGTATCTACGAAAGTAGAACCGGAGCAATGATTGGAAAATATCATCTCTTTTTATTTCATTAATTCGCACAAAGTTACACAAGGGAGGCAGCTAGTCAACAGTACCTAACGCAGGGAGGCAGCTAGTCAACAGTACCCAACGCAGGGAGGCAGCTAGTCAACAGTACCCAACGCAGGGAGCAGCTAGTCAACAATACCCAACGCAGGGAGGCAGCTAGTCAACAGTACCAAACGCAGGGAGGCAGCTAGTCAACAGTACCCAACGCAGGGAAGCGATTAGTCAACAATACCCAACGTTAACTCTTATCTGATCGAATAGTGGGACTTGACAATCATTCTTATAACAAACCTATGACCCCAAGTGCAGCGCGTTTTGGGAGAAACGGGTCGCGATCTAGCAATCCTCATATTTACAATTCGACCACGCTAACCACAAGTCCTCACCCGATCACCGTCTTAAAGTTAAACCTTTAATGTTTATCCGTTCCATGCGTAACACTTTTTATTATTGTCTGGTTGTTAAACTGAATATACACGTATATAAATACCGTGATAAGATATTATTAATATATATATGTGTGTTGTAAATAGTAGTTTTAAACAAGTAGGCGAATGTCAAATATTATCATACACATATATAGAACAATAAACGTACAACTGTTTGTACAGAGTCGAATACATTATATTAAAAGGTCTTTAAAGTTTCACCACCTAATTACTGTCCAAATTGCTACGTTTTGACAAACTGTATTTGATAAACGTGCAATTTTGACATTAGTCATTCAATGTAGTTTCCATTACAAAAGGCTTTGTCATAAGGCTGGCATGTCCCAAGGCACGTCATTTCTCCCTGCATGGTTTTCATAATCTATATAGTTTACAAGGATGGCGGTTTTCCAGCGCCAACTTCAACAGTTCGATTGTACATAACTTCAAAGACACTGCGTCAGATAACTTTATTGTTATTTCTTCATATTGGTTATACTGGGTACCCGTTTTATTCTCCAGCTATTTGAGGTATGCGACCGTAGAGATATGTAATGGAAGCACTTTGTGTACACGCAACTTGTGTTGCTTTTCCAAAAATAGAATCCTGGTGGTTAGGGTACTTGACTCATAATCTGCGAATTGTGAGTTCGAATCCCATCACCGAACATGTTCATCCTTTCAGCTGTTGAGGCACTATAATGTGACGTCAATTCCACTATTCGATTAGAGTAGCTAGCCCATGAGCTAACTAGTCTATAATTTCAAAGTTATGGACGGCTAGCACAGATAGCCCTCGAGAAGCTTTGGATAAATTTAGCAATCAATTCTTTTTATTTTGTTGCGTACTGTTGCCTGGGATATGTGGACTGCTTTTGCCACAAAACTTCTTGAATTCTCCCCTGTTTCAAGATGACACAATTTGCTTACCGTAGCTGGGGTACACTTGTCTTAGGCCTCTTTCGGATAGTCATGGTGGCCCAAATTGGTGTATATTCTCTTGTTTCCC